TCTCGGAGTAAGACGAACTTGACTAGGCAGGATAACGCGGGAGTTATAAAGGACACTGGAATTGCAAACGACTGCAGAAGCAAAGAACTGGCATGCCTAAACGGTGGTATCTGCATCCCTGAGTATGGAGGCAATGATCAAGACCAACAATGGACTTCACCAGTACTACAACATGCTTGTCGATGTCCTAGCGGGTTCGAAGGAGTTAGATGTGAGACGCGTAAGTTGGTGCTCACACTCTCTGAAAGAGGGAGTTAATTTTATGCCATTCTGTAAAAAAAGTTTCATAAAAGCATTGTGTACTCTTGAACTGCCTGAGTCTTTAAATTTATCACATTGAATACCCTAAAGCTGGGCTTTTGAAAATTAGTAATTCAGCCCAACTGAGAACGAAAATTACTGTAATCAACTTGTGCAAATTAATACGACATCTTTATGAACGTTTAAGCAAGTTTTTGCTGTTATTAGCGGCCTTCTGCAAACGTCATTCCCGATATTCCTACATTTACGATCCGGATACTGGTTGCATTTCAACTAGTCGAATTGTGATTCGCTCTTGTTCCGGCTCCTGTCAAGGTGCAGCAGGTACTTTGATGTGGCAGCTAGAACAGCAGCGGCAGCAGAAACGCCGATGGAGCAAAAAAGCAAGACGAAGAGTTCGTCGACACAGAAGTCAGTGGACTTCGTCAGCTTCGCTGCCGTCGCCTTCGTCATCACTGCCACTGACACCCGGACTGAATCGTATGCCTCGAAGTGTCACGGAGAATACTGGAACCTGCTGTCAGCCGGTGCGCTTCAAACGGAAGAGCGTACAGTTCCACTGTCCACAGAATGGAGGTGAGGGCCGTGTCTACTCTCGGTGGTTTCGGTTTGTTCGGAAGTGTGGATGCACCACCAATTGTCACAATCGTGATGGCAGTACCACTGGCAGTACAGCCAATGATGCATTTTGAGACAACAGGAAGATGAGGGAGGTGAGACAGACACAGAGGATGCAAACGACATCTCATCTTCCATGTAGCATTTATTTGCAGGAGCGCAGTTGCTGTGGCATACCTACTCTGCATGAGATTGTGCCGTTGTCGTTGTCATTTGCCCACTTTTTAACAGGCACAGCACATGAACCCTCTAAACCATCTATTCAAACCACTTCATTTAACATCTCCAAAGTATCCCATCCAATGCTCCGCTTCGCTCCTTTTTTCCACTTTTCTTGAAACGGATCTATTTTAATCAAGACTTTAAATGCAAAAATATGAACTTAAGATCAAGATATCTGATTTCACACAAAAGCGAACCAAGTTGGCGTTGGTGGTTTCAGGTGGATAAAAAGTGAAAATGCGACTTTCTGCAGCCAGCCATCTATTTAATAATCACTCACCATTTGTAGAGGCTCGTAATCTCAACGATGCGAAAAGTAGGATCACTTACTCTCTAGACATCCCAAATGGTAACAATCAGAGCATAAAGTGCACGAGAAACTGAACATAGAGAATTGTTCATGGCTAAGTGAAACACTAGAAGACTAAGCCTAGTCAAATGATAAATTGGCTGTGAATGAAGTTGAAATTGCATTCCAAAGGCAACTATTCCCAGTGGCTGCGTATTGCGATCGGTGCGAATTCGAGACTTAGTTACTTCTCCCTCTTCTATCACAACCTTTGTTGATTCCAAATGCGTAAAATCGACAAATCAGGAGAAGCAAGTAGGAGACGCGTTAAATGGAACCAGCAAAATAAGCCTACAATCTGAGGTTCTGCATGCGACAACTAAAAGGCAGTCTTAAATGATAGGTCTCGAAGACTACCCTCCTTTACCTCAACTCCAGAGTTTACTTCGTTAATGAAAGACTTCGCGGCATGAGGGTCCGTTGAGCTTCATAATAATATCGGGGCACGTGATGGTGCATGTAGATCCGCAAGCATTAAAGACGCGAAGGTCTCTCCAAATGCCTCCTCGGTAAGAAATGAACCCAAGTTGCTCTTAATGCAAGGATATCCACCCCTAGACATGATTTCAAGTCAATAGTAATGCTATGTAGACAAGGTAGTTTCTTTTGATTACATTATGAATCTTCGGCATTTATGGCAAAGTATTTACTTTCAGAAATCATTGATGTCAAAGGGAGCGATTTATCTACAAGGCAATAACCACGATTTTGAGCCTCATTCAGGGTAAGAAACACCCTAGTCGTCTCAGACAGTAGCCAAAGAAAGAACTTAATAATTTCAAGTGCTCCATAGTTTCAACAAATAGGGTTTCTGAATTAGATTACAACACCTGTGTCTTCTCAGTAAAGGATCTCGGGACAGAAAGGGTGAGAAAAGGGGGGCTGCTTGGGAATAAAACATTGGCCGGCCAATGTCTCCGTTGGTCATTGGATTTGAGGGACCCGCCTGAGCTTCTTGATTGTGAGCGACCTCACCGGAGGAGAGGAATAGAGAAAAAAATGGAATGGTCTACTCAGCGTGGTCGTATGGCATTCTAGGGGCAAGGTGGCGCAAATTTACTAACACTCCGGGGGCTGCATCAGCAGCGTTGCCTGTGCATTCCGATGGCCATAAATGAGTGGGATCTTGACGTATAGGCCTGTAAAAGCCTTGCGGATTCCACCACAGTTTTGAAGATGGAGCCCTATAGTGTACCGAACTGGGAAGACTAGTAAGTGTGGCTTGTTTAGTTAGCAAACTTTAGAACCAAAATTTTGAGCGGACGGTCGCTTACCTGGTAGGAGTTAGAGCTGGGGGATTAACCTTCCAGGTTCCGGGATTAATTCCATTGGTCTGTGGCCATGGTCGAGTATGCACGAGTGGTCTGCTAACATTCTGCTGCTGCTGCCAGTGCCACTCAGGTTGCGGTTGAAAGTCCTGGTAAATTGAGCTGTATTCAGGGGTGTATAAGTGTGGTGAATGCGAAATCTGCTGTAGTGAAGGTGCCAGAGGAGGTGGATGACGGTAGCTCAACATATAAGGTGATTGGTAATTCCTCAGTTGCATTGTTGGGGGTGGTCCACAGCTTGGCATTTGTTTGAACTGGTGCTCAAAAGAAACGTCCCATCTCTAAAAAAATTCGGTTTAGAAAAGCAGTTGTCTAAAGTATTCCTTTTAGTCAAAAGATAGCATCGCTTTGATGCTTAGAAGTGATGTGACAGAGTCGGAAAATCAAGAAGAAAAGCTGTGTCGTTGGTAGACAAGTAAAACAATTTAATATTTTAAATAAGCGCGAAGGTAAGTCACTATATATGCCCACCAGAGTTAAGCTACTAGGCTACAGTTAAAAGAGGATGGTGAAGATTAGAGAGATTTTTATCCTCCAACATACGCGCTTATCGATAGCATTGTCTTGCAGAATCTGACGTGGTCTCTGCTGCCTGGATTGGAGGTCATAGTTCTCAAGAGCACTGTGACGTGGAGTAATTGGTCGACTCGAGTTAGCTCGATCGAGTTCGTTGAATTGAGAGGCAAAGAATACATCATCATCATCACGGTTCTCCTCGAACCTTGCATCATCACTACCATCGAGTCGAAGAGTAAGCTGGGCACGGAGAAGAATACAATCACAGTTACTCGCAAACAAATACATCCATCACTGAGCAATCGTTTTTGTGGTGGCAAAAGTATTCTGCGAAGTCACTTGATCAGCTAAGATCAACAGCTACGAATCTATGGATTGATACCAAAAAATACTGCATAATATAATAGCAAATCCATAAACAAATGTTTTACATCTAAT